AAATAAAATCATAATTATCTTCAATACATATTTTCAATTATACATTCCATGTCTTTTAAATCCAGCACTTTAATCCTCAATCCTATGTCCCAACATTAACATTAATAGTTGTGATCTCTATGGAAGAAGGAAGATTCTAAATTCAAAATTTTTTCCCCCAAATTTACTTTTAACTCTAGACTATTGGTGTGAAGTAGTAATAAACGACAACCCAAATATTGCAACCTTTGCCCACAGTGTATGTTTCAATTTTAGAACAAAGTAATTCTACTTTCAAGTAGTAATTGAAGATGTAAGACACATTTAGTCCACTACTGCAAAGCAACTTAAATTTAATGTTCTTCATCCTGAATTGGTTTTATATGGTAAATTAGCCCTAAATCATGGGAATAAAGCTTTCATTGTTTTTCCTTCACAGCCCTGAAAGATACATTTCAATATTAATACTATTTCTAAGAGTCAAAATAAATCTCTAGATAAACAATACTAAAATTTAACTCTCAATGTCTTACGTATTTTTTCTTTATGTTTGTTCCTTCCAAAAAAAAAAAATCAGTTTTTGGATACTTCTCCTAAAATAATAAAAAAGGGATCAATCAAAAGAAAAACTCTCACAGCTAAGATGACTTTTAGATACAAGTATTTTGGAGGAAACATCCTGGGAATTGAGGAGAGTCAATTTAATACCTTATAGAAAATTTCATTCCCATAAAGGTATTCCTTCATTAGTTTCAGAAATCTTGAATTGTGTTCACTGCATTAACTGCTTGTCAATCAGTTTCTGAAGAGAGTTGTATTACTTCACTTGTCCTACCTTTATTTCCTTCAGAAAGGAAGGAAGAAGGAAACTATCATTTTTGAGGGGTGTGATAGTAATTTTTTTAAAAAGCGGGAAATAAGGTGATGCTAGTAGATACCAATCCCTACAAACTCTTTTACATGGAGTACTTAAACGATTGTTAGATTTTAACCACTTAAAAACAAATACATGGTGTTTTTAAAAATTAAAAACCAAAGTTACTTTTCAGAACCCCAGGTTAGATGCACAGTTAAGTATCTGTGGTTTCTGAGTTTACTTAATGTCACAGTTTACTATGCATATCTTATGTTCAGTGTTGCTTTACAGCAGATTCACCTTTCTGTGCTATTATGTAATTTTGAAGATGAAATTAATTTAATCAAAAGGTAGCAACACGACTCATTGATTTGCAGGTGCCAGTTATTCTTTCTGTGGCACTGTGGCATACAGAGTAGCTTCAAGTTCGGCAACATTTCATATAGAAATTGTTCACAACTACACTAATTTTATAACTTAAGTGATCAAACAAAATTTCTGGAATAAAAAATCTCAAGAAACAAGGATTCTTCATTATTTGAGACTTCCAACTTTCCACTCCTAAAGTTTCTATGTCTTCCCCACACACGTATCTGCAGCCTATCAAAATGGAGGGTATGAGCACAGGGTGCAACAATAGTTAAGACTGCATATCTGAGCAAATCTTTAATAAGTCTGATTATGTTATACTGTTCCCTAAATCTGTAGCATTCTACCCAAAATCAGGAAGGCAATCTAGGATACAGAAAAATGTATCTTTCAGCTTCAACTACAGGTTTTAAGTAGAGAAATCTTTGTTAGAAATCCAGTTGGCAGTATATCCCTGGGCAAGTTACTTAACTAGTTAGAGTTTTCTTTTTCCTTTAATGGAGGAAAAAAATCACTGTCTTGCAGAATTGTTGGGAGAATCAGAGAAAATATACATGAAGCACTGAACACAGTGACTGGTACACAGAATGACAAATAAGGCTTACTGGCTTATTGTTATGTTGTTATTAGCTATTTTGGAAATACACCTGGCTAGAGAATATGGAACTCAAACTTTCAAAGTCCTTACTTTGGGAAGTCATAGAAAAAAAATATTTTCACATTGAAAAAATGTCCTTGAGTCTAACATCTACATTTATTCAACAGTATTTATTTGGTGCTTTTGACATCTGAAGGCACTATTCTTAATGTCAAGGGATACCTTGGAGAAGAAATTGAAAGTATTATCCCTTGTCCTCAAGAAACTTACATTTTAGAGAAAACTAAACATTAAACAAACAATTCTATAGTTACTTAATTGCAACTGGGATCAGTGTTATAAAGAAAGTCTGCTAAAGGGGGAAATGACCTAACAGGATCAGCATTTAAATTTCTACACAAACATCCCTCCTCCCTCCAAGGGTTTTCAATCACTCTATAATTAAACCTAATCCAAATCTTTGTATAGACTTGATCTGTCTTTTAAAACAACAAAATCAGTAATTAACTTAACTCCAGCCATTTTTATGTTCAGAACTGTAGAGTGAAAAATAGAGAAACTGTAAAAGCTACAAGTTAATTTCAAGTATTCCATATAGTGACTTCTTTATGAAAAGGAAAGCAAAGATATAGGTAAGGGCCTGTCTGCTATACACTATGAACTCATTAGAAAACATATTTCTTGATAGATTATAAAACTAATATTTTTATTTTATGTGCATGCCATTATTTTTAATGATTCATTTTTCAGAATCTTTTTATTAAAGTTAAATATTTATATATTTACTACTGAGAAACATTATTTCTGTGACTTAAGGCCAGTACAAATCTAATTTTCTTACTAAAAGAGCATTCTTCTTCACTCAGGTACCTTTTAAAATCTGCAACCTTAAAAAAAAATCTTTTTTTAAATCTGGTGACATCCATGTTAAAGACAACTTCAACATTTCTATCTTCAGAAGTTAGTAGACTGTTGTAGAACGGTAACATTTAAATCCCAAGTATGCATAAAGGGAAAAAATGAGCAATCAGATCAACTCTCCCACTAAAATGAAACTAAGTTTATTCCATAAAATAGAATCTACCTCAGTGTTTGTCTTAGATTCAAACAACATTCACCTAGAAATTAATGCAACAACAATTAGCCAGAACAGCCATTGTCGCCTCTTCACCTATATTTAGTTCATAAGGCAAGCCAGTCCAGGATTCCTGCTGCCAGTTATAATGAATGGAAGAAATATATTTAAATCAAATAGCACCATCTAGCAGAATCCTCACTACTTTGCTCATAAGAGTAGCTGTATTCAGTTTGGTAGATCTGACAGCAAAAGTGGCAATTATTTGTTTTCATGACAGAATCATAGAATTAAAGCTAAGAAGGACTACAGACACACCAGCTTCAACTTCCTCATTATTGTATCAGATACTAAAAAAAAAAAAAATTAGTTATCAGAATATAAATTCAGCCATTCCTGTAAGTCCAAGTAAAATCCATAATTACTTTGATTCTCAAAGTCAGCCACCCCCAAAATAAGTAAGATTACGTCTCAATATACATTTCAATTCCTCCACTCCTCAAAAATATGAAATCCAAATACCCTGTAATCATTAAAACATCTCCCCTAAATGTTTTCATTTTCTCACATATATTACAACCAAATGATTAATGCACAAAATTAGGCAATTTCAAAACTCCAATTCCAGTAACTGCTGTTTCTTAACCGGGCTATCATGCTAAGTCTTTTATATATTCCTTGTCACAGCAACAAGATCCTGCATATAGCTCCTCAGAAAATACCTTCGGAGAAAAAAAAAATCTCCGTTAATTTTCTTGTTTTGTTTTGTTTTGCTACATCAAGGCCTGCCACCCCTAAACCCTATGGGAATTGTGTGCGTTGCTGCCAATACGAAGATTAGGAAATGTTCCATCCCTAGGGCACAAGAAAGTTTCAGGAGAAGACTACTAACCGCCTAAAGCAAGGAGAGAAACTCGGTAGTGTGCACATTCGGTTTTTATTTACGCAGCTATTTCCGAGCGCAAGGTAACCAAAGTAGCTTTTGAGAGATGCTCTCAGACTTTTCCCCAATCTGAACCCCTCGGAAAGACAGCGCGTCCAGTGACAGGGATACGCCTCACCCTGAGAGTGGAGGCGGTTGCTGGGGATCACTGTTAGATCCGCAGCACAGAAAAAGGGGGTTCTTCCTCAGTGGTCACAGTCACTATTCGCTCTCATTTTTAGTAACAACCAAATCACCCTTACAAGTACATAAGAATAGCAGCAAACAGCCCTGCGTCGCAGCGTGCCGTGACGGTGGCATCCCGGGCCGGGAGGGGCTCTTTTCTCGCCAGCCTCCTCTGGGCTTCCACCGAAGTTAACACCTGTATCTCCTCCCCACCCCGACCAAACAACTGCTCCCCACCTCCACACTTCTCCTCTTCCCTAAGTACCCGTTCGGACCACTGCCCCCTCCCCTCTGCAGACAGCCCTCCTGCTGTCGGCCGCCGCGGCTCCCACGTCTACCCCTCCGCGAGCCCCGAGACCCCCGCCCTGCCCCGCCCGCCGCGGCCCCGCGACGTTTCGGAGGCTGCAAGCCTCCAAAAAAAGTTATCCAGCCACCGTGGAGATGGGTCGCCCGCAAGCGGCAGAAAGCCAGCCTGCCCTAGCAGATCCCGCTCCTCGCCAGCATACTTTTCCTCCCCGGGAACTCGGTCCTTCTCAGACTCCCAAACTTCAGCGGCGCCCCTGCGCCCCCAACCGCTGCTTCCAG